ATATTTCTTTTTAACTTGAAATTTAGATTCTTTTCGTAAATGATAGAGATGTTTAAATTTTTTAGTCATGAAGAGAAATTGTTTTTTAATTTGCCTAGATTACCTTGCAGATTAAAAACATTTTTAATGATTTTTTTGCTCATCAATATTTTTGTGATAAGCAATCCAAAGTAAAATTTTTTTTTTCTCAACTTAACGCTGGCAATCCTGCAATTAAAGTAAATGTGAGAGAAACTCAGTTGCTTTCTAATTTTAATAATATCAGTTATTTTAGTTCCATCTATGTGCAAGTATAGTACTTTAAACAAATAAATCAATACGGAACATTTATACATTCATGAAATAATTAATGAAAAGAATTATCAAAAAATAAAAATAAAATATAATGAAAAAAAGGTTGTAAAACCGTTAAAATTATAAAACAAGACATATAAAAATACTAACTTATTTATTGAAAATATCAGATTATTCTATGATACTCTGATATATTGTTTTAAGAATATTTTATGAATTAAAATTATCATAGCTTATTTTAATTTAATAAATTTGCTAAGAATAATACCATTAGTGGATTTGGGGGTTGGACATTAGGGGATACTACCTTCTTTAAACTAATGCTCACTTAGCGAAATAAAGATCTTTAAATCATACAATAATTAAACATTCTGTTTTACACTTAAAACTTTAGCTCCCATCTTGGAAAAAAATTATGGATCTGCACTTCAACAATTCTCAAATAAATTAACTTTTTTTAAAGAATTTAGCTTTTTTAGGTTTTATTTTTTTTTTATTTTTCTGACAACCCTATATTTTTAACACAGATGTTTCATTTTTAAAAAATGTTTTAATTAGTTGTTTTCATTTAAAAATTTTTGTTTTATTTTTTATTTGTCTTAGCAACAGTTACAAACATTAATTCAATATTTAGTTTAATTTATGAAATACTATAAATTGTTTTGTTACATTTTTTACTCTTCAAATTTATTCTTTTTGTTATATCATAAATTTATGAATATATATATATTTTCTTTTTGTAGACAATATCAGATTATAGAAATGAACTATACTCAGAATATTAGCACATTCATTTATATTGTAAACAATAACAAATGATTTAGTAAAGAAATAGATCTTTCTTCTCTACAAAATGCCATGATGTCAGTGCGTGTCATCCAAGTCAATACTATTAAAGAGGCCAATAAATGTTTATATAATAATTATTATTTCAATCACTTACCGTTATTATAAGTTGCTCTTATTTGTCGGCATTTGAAAATATGAATAAGAAAGATATTTATGGCACATAGAGGTTTTAAATCTAATAGTTCCACATTCTTTCAAACTTTAATTAAAAAAAGGTTGTACCGACTACATATATCTACGCCATGTATAATAAATTTGATTCTAACATTTTTATTGAACGTAAAATTTATAAAAAATAAGTTTCAAACTAAAGTAAATAACTATAAATAATAATTAATTTATAACATTTATATTCTAATAAATAGTAATAATGCCTAAATTTTTAACTATGACTATTGGTATTGAGTAACAAAACAAAAATCTATATCGATAAAAATTAAATAATTATTGTAAAATTTTAATTAATGTATTTAATAGTTAATATTAAATGGTTACAAAATAAATAGTTAAGAGTTTCCAATATAAAAATAATAGTAATAAAAAAAAAAAATTATAAAAATTTATTTATTCCACAAATTGAAAAATTCTCTTTAATAATAATGTAAAAATATTTATAACTAACTTTCACAAAAATTTACATTATTTTATTTTACCATTCAACTTATAATAAACTATTATGTTAATGAAGATTAATTTAGTCTTCTATTAGAACCCTATGAGTGTTATTATATTGATTTATAATCTTCATAAGTTTTTAAAACAGTAGTACTTATTTTAAAAATGAAAAAAGATATGTTATGCCTATGATATAAAATTTATATCACATTCATTACATTTTTTTTCTTAACTGTACTATTATTGAATAATAATACAAATTATTTTAGCTTCGATGCGAACCTGAGAATTTTTCATCGAGTTTTTTATGAATAATAATAGTTGTATTAAATATTTGCTAAAACAACATTGTAACTGAGGTTATTTGGTTTTAATATTTAAAATGATAGGTTGACAAAATATTTAAAAATTAACCTAATTATTAAATTATAAAATTTTATTATATCACCGAAAATCGTTACATTAAATGTATTATATTTTTAATATTCTTTAGCAGTTATAAGGTACACAATAACAATAATACAACAATAAAAGGTACATAGGTAAATCATTAGATTGATAAAAATTTCACAAGGCTGACATAAAATCTGTTGGATATTTTAATATAGTTTTGTCTTAAGTAAAAATTTTTTATCTCTGAATATAAAACTTAGAATTGTTATAGTAAATTTTTAATTTAAACATTAAACATTTTTATTTACCAATAGAAAATATATTATGATTGTTATATAAAATTACATTATTGAGAAATGTATTTTGAATATTATACAATATTAGACAAAATATGAAACAAATGCGATTGAAATCATTAACACCACTGCTTCAAAAAAAAAGTACTTTTATTTTGTTATTATTTTCGTTATAGTTACTTTCTTCCTCCCTGTAAGCATTGAGTGGGTTTTGTAGCTTAAAACGGATTTAATGTCAATTTTTCCCCTTCCTAAAAATATTTTTAAGTAGTAATCTAAATGTTTTTGGCCAAACAAGATCAAATAGACTTAGATGGTTTAGTGTAGTCATGAGGAGAGAGGAATCGGAAGCTTTAAGAACAGTTATGGAAATTAATGTTGAAGGAAGAAGAGGCAGAGGAAGACCAAAAAACAGATGGAGTGTTGTTATTGAATGCGATATGAGTGCACTGATGTGAGTGTAGATGATGTGGAAGATCGTGTCAAGTGGAAGTTTGAGATAAGGGTACCCAACCCCAAATAGTTGAGATAAAGGCGAGAAAAAAGAAGATTTTAAAATGCATTTTAAGTATGAGAACAAAAATTATTACTCCTATCCTTTTGCTAAGGTAAATTTATGAGAACGTCTCTGGCTATTGATTAAATTAATTTTTCTCAATTAGGAAAAAAATCGTTTTTTTTTTAACTCGAACCTATAAAAAAATATAGTTTCTGTGTCTGGTTTTAATAAAATTTTCTCCAGTAATAATCGTATTCATACGATTCATAGTGACTATTTCAAAACAACAAATTTTAGGAAAGTAATTTTTGATAAAAACACTATCAAAAATAACTTTTGCTATCAGAACTCACCACTTTAAGTAACACGAAAACATAGTGCAGTAATTTAACACTGTATATTTAAACGAAACATTCATTAATTACACACTAAAATACAATGTAGCCGTCAGAGCAGTAATTTATATCATAGGCTTTTGGTGAACACATAAAATAATGCATGTTTTGATTAAATTAATGACATGACTAAGTAACAAGTTTCGACTTGGGAAGTTAAAAGTGTTACAAAAAGAACATTAATCCTTTTAAAACAATTATTTTTATAGATCTATGATACTGATTTTTTATACTTATTCATATTTATTTACTATGTAACTCGTGCTTTTAAAAATGAAACGTTTGTCTAAGTGTACTTTTATTACACTTATATTGTATCAAAATTGTATTTTAATTCAATAAAATTGTTATACAGTATTCGGAAAGATTAAATGTTTTTTATGTACAAAAAAAAACTTTCTAGAACTTGTCCCTAAAAAGATAGTTGACAGTTTGAACTTATTACATAATAAATTTAACTCATATTCATTAGCTGAACTATATATTTAGAATTTGAAAAAAATAATTTTATAATATGATATTTAATTTGAGAGTAAATAGACTTTGGATATAAATGTAAATAAATATACAAAAATGAGTTTGAAAAAAAAATGAGGCTCACTAGTTTTTCGTTTCTCTCTTAAAAAATATTTTTATTATACGTAATATATATATATATATAATTTTGTGATCATTTTTTTAGGTGAATTTTGTTTTTGGTAAGGCTTAGTTTCCTCAGCCAAAGTAAATGCATCTTAATAGATTTATCATGGAGTTTTCAAAGTACACTTTTTCCTATTGAAAATAAAATACCTTTGTCGAGTCTTCTAAAGAATCTAATAAACAGTTTTATGATAAAAATATTTATAATTCTTTATTAAGAAAATAAATTGTTAGAAACCATTGATGCCGCCGAGTCTTAACATAATTAAAAAAAAATAATAATAATTTCTCATAACCTGAATTCTCAAAACTCACCACTTAATTGTGTTGTCATTTACCATAATTTATTCATAGAGAATAACAAAATTATTATAATTATAAGTTGTTTTTTTCAGTAACTAAGCGATCTTAAACCATTTATAAATTATTTAAGAATAACCGCTTTAAAAACCATATAATACATATTTTTTGTTTTATTAAATTTTTTAAAATTATGACCATATTTATAAATATAATCACGATGCTCGAAGAAAAACATTATTACTATTAGAGTTTATCTCTCGATCATAAAAACATTATTCTTACGAAATATAAATTAAGCTAAAATAATTTTCTTTGAACAGGTTCCGTTTTTTTGAAACGTATGATTAGTTCTCTCTAGACTGAACTAATTGAGCTTTTCATGTATTTTTCTGAATAATTAAATAAACATTTTCATAAAGATAAAATTGTCACATGAACTGAAAAAATAAATTCTCAAATTCACTGATACGAAGATAATGTTTCTTTTTTTAATGTGATACAATCGTTGTCGTGTCACTGGGTCGACCAACATCCATGTTTGCCCCTTAGTCAAATCATCGTTTCCCCGTGCTCAGGAGGAACTTACCGGGTGGCGAGGGGGTGGACGTCCCGAAATGGCTTGTTTGCGCAGGTACAACCGCACCCGGTAATATCGAACTCTCTCTCCGGGACAAAAGTCTCCGACGGCGTCGTCCATGCGAGTCTCATCGTCCCTGCCGTTAGCGTCACATGCCTTTTGGTTTCTACCCGGAGCAGTCAACGCTACTCGTCCGCCGACACTCGAAAAATGGTAAGTGTCAACAATAACATAATTGAATTAAAATTATCATATTTTTGTGATTGTCTGATTATCTCTATAAATCCAACGTGTTCACTTGTTTTTATCATAACTTAAAAAAAAAAACCAATACAAGTAAATCAGCATTTTTTTTTTATCCATGCCGTCAACTCGGCGCACATATCAGTGAGCATCATCAACAATAATATTCATACCAATTACTTGACATTATCGATTTTCTTTTTATTATATAATCTATAATATAAAGGATAAATTTGAAACTTATGTGCTTTGCTCATGAACCAATTTTTATTTGATATATGCTAATATATATATATATGTATATCATTTAAAACAAAGAAATGTTGAGGTATACTCTGTTTCAATTTATGATAACGTTCGAATAGGTATAAATAATATTCAAGATTTATTATATCGGTCTTTTCTAATCTATTCGTAATAATTTTTTATTTGGATTTTGTAACAACTACTCGTTTGTAATCTTTCGATAAGGTTTATTGTATGGTTAAAAATAAACGTTCACGGTCAATATCAATGTTTTCACTTATTATGAACGATAGTTGATATTTTTTCTATTTAATTGTATAATCGTTTATTGGTGATTAACAGATATAATTTTTATTAAAATATTTGGCACTAAAACTTTTTAAAACTTTTATTTTTGAANAGAGAGGCCATTAACTCGTTAAAAAGTTAAAATGAAGTTAATTTTTTTAAGTTAAATAACTCGTTACTTTTTTGAGCGTTTTAGCATTTAACTTCGTTTGTTATTTTTTTAGCTTGTATAACTCCAAATTAGTTTAGTATAGTAGTATTAAAATTACGTTAAATGTAATCCACGATTCCCACTTTTTTTTTTTTAATATCCTGACTTTATAATGTATTATTTATCATAAATGTATAATTTGTATTGTCGAGTCAGTATTGTATACAATACTGAAATTACTCAGAAGGTGGTCAGCAAATAAACACATCACAATGAAATGATAAAATATTCCTTATCGTGTTTATTATGTTAAACCATGATAAGGGATATACTTTACTATATCTTGTAAAACTAAAAATTTTTAATTGTGCGCCAAACTGTGCCGCATGTTAACACTATATAAGAAACACATACTACCCAGGCACATATGTTTAAATAAAGAATATTCGAATATCTATTGTTATTGAAAAGCATTGTAGAATATTGTCGAACGGCTCTCGTCAAAAGAGGGACTACGGTCGTCTTGCTGATTAGTTACAACAATGTTTATTTTTATTTGATAATAATTATCAGAGAACGTCTTTTTCATTTATTGGAGAAGATATGGGAAAATATCTTAATCGATATTATTTGAGAGTATAATAAGAAAAAAATGCATTTATTTATTTAACAAGTTACTTTAAATAAAGTTAAAAATAATATTTTAGTTAACATTGAACTTAACTTAATCAATTAGAAAAATGTGTTATAATTATTAAAATATAAAAAAATAATCTGAATCATATGATTGAAATATTTTATACATTTACTGTATACATGACTATCATAGAACATAAACTTCAAATATCATTTAAAACTTTGTCACTTTAAATAAAGTACAAATAAAAATCTGGGACGAAAAATCGATGACTCTTTAAAATATATATTTCAATTTATTAAATATTATCATATTACTTGTTGTAATCAATTAACCAATTATCTTGAAACCATATTTATTACATAGTCACCTGCTACAAAGTTTATATATAAATCAAAATAGTAATTAGGTAGTGTCATTTGCAACGGTCTCACTGCAGTTACTTATAAATAATACAATCGCTATAGTTGTTTATTGATATAGTTGTGACACCGGACTATTAATGTTGTGTGCTCTAATTTATAACTGATTTATTACATTATTTTGATTAATGGTCTTTAAATCAAGAAGTGTATTTACGAGATGGGTTCAAGAGGCAAGGTAGGCCTTCAAAATTTTCTCATACATGTGATCAAGAAAACACTTAAAAAAATGATTAGCCAAAAAAATTTCTTTTAAATCAAAATTATCTTTTTATTACCCCTGAATAGAAATATTTCTATGTGTATACTTATTGAATCAAATGCTCAATATTTTATTTAATGAATTTAATGTGGAATTATGAAGGTTCTTTTTCTTTTATTTAATATTTTTTTAAATATTTAAATAAACTTTTAAAAAAACAAAACCCGTTTTGTACAACTTACAAGAGTATGAAGCAGAATCAATGGTTATGTGATTTTTAATTCGCTATAAATTTTATGTTTATCTTGGCATAAAAGTTTTTTTATACAAGAAATTAAGGTTAGGCCACCCATAACGGTTTCTAACAAGTGTCATTCTATAATTCACGTTGAAAGAATCAAAACTTGTTTATTTATTAGTCGCAGAAAAGTTTACATTTAAACTGTCAACAAGATATGTGCACTATCGTTTTAATTCATTTTTTTTTTTAACATATTTTATTTTAAACATTTTTTTTTTAATTGCAATATTATATTAAAACAACAAGTACCGGTATGACAAACTGTACGCAATTCATCGGAACTTTTAATCATCAAAACTTAGTTTAACTTTCACCATGTGTCTGGATGACAAAGTGGAAACCAAAATTATATTCTATAGTAACAAAAGTTCAGCTTTTTGTTATTCTCAATCAAAGGTTTTTTATAAAAAATTATCAAAATATTATTTATTACTTAATAAATGTTAATAAATTAATTAAAAACAACAATTTATTTTCATCGAATCTTCACCAAATAAACACCAATTCTCTCGAGAGTAGTTATTTGCTGTAACCGGAATACTCGTATGAATATTATATGAATAAACCTAAAAAATCACCTAATCCCTACACAGTATCCTTTTTCAAGGTATTGCTACTCTTTATGAGAATTTGGTAGAGCCATTTTGAGTTATTTTTTCAATCTGCTATTTTTTAATGAAATATACTACATATTCCCAAATGTGTAACATAACCTATAGGAAAAATGATGCAGCCTTCACTACTATTCGGTTGCAGAAGTACCCCTAGTGTGGTAATAAATAACTTTTGAGTAGTACATAACCAGTTAAATTTTAGAATTTATTGATAAGGTCTGACATATTGATGACATTGTAACTAATATTTCTAAAAATCTGTAACTGATACAGATTGAAAAAGGACTCGTTGCTTATTTCTTTTCGTTCTTTTTAATATAATTTACTGTTTTTCACTAGTTTTATAGTTAAATAAAAAACAAAATAAGGTTATTTTTTTTATTAAAACCTAATGTATTACTTTGCTTTTATTGGTCTTTTCCGAAACTTATAATTTAATTGAATGCAATAAGTTGTTTCATATTAATATTAAAAAGGTTTGTTGATAGACATATATTATCAAAATGTATAATTAATATTACTTACATTTTATTATAATAACATAACCTATATGTTAATACAATTACATAAATACACAAAAATAATAATATTACACTGAATTACGTTAGTATTGTAAAGTCAAGGTACTTAATATTTCCGTGCCTTAAAATTATTTTTTTATAGAATATAAAACGGTTTTTGTCAATATTTCATTTCTTAATATGCACAGAAAATACAAATTATTTGAACCAACTACAATTTATAGCAATTCACGTATTAATTAATTTATTCATTTGATTACTGTGTGCTTAGGATTAAACGTTGCAAATCAATAGTATTCAATGCAGATGGATATATTTTGTTGAAATTACTATTAGGTACAAAGCTTGTACATTTGAAGGGTTTGGCAATTCCCCAGCGCACCATATAAGCTGCACAAAATGAAACTCTTATTGTGACTTATGTGGCAACTTTATAGAGTATACATATTTTATATGTATAATAAAGTCTTCTTATAAAATTATATTACAATTTCTACATAATATAGTCTTATTTCTGTTGGTAAATTCAAATTACTACTCATAAAAACAAACCGTTTTTCTCGTTACATCAATTTAAAAAATACATCTAATGATATTAAATTATTTCATCCTTTCAAAGAACACAAATTTGTTCCAAAGAATTTTAAATAGTGTAATTATTAATGAAGTTCGAATCGTTAGATTTTTAAACATAACTAGGGGTTAATTTATGGTCAATTTGAAAATCGAACTTAAAATTTATAAAAATCAAATCGAAATTTTCCTTGTAAATTGGTTTGAAAGTGAATATAATAAAATATCGCATTGAATTTGTTGAAACTTGAAAATTCATTCATAATTATTTTATGTTTTGTATTAATTATGCTACAGTTAAAGTTGTTTTTATTTTTTTTTAGAAAAAAAAAACTTTTATGTAACAATTGTACATTGTCTTAACTAAACGAGAGCTTAAAGTCTAAAATCTCCATGCGTAAAATCTAGTCTCTTAAAATTACAGGACAATGGTCTATTATAATATGTGTATCAATATTTTTAGTCAATTGAAACTTTACTCTCCTTACTAATATATTTTTGTTTTAGTTATGTTTATGATTTATTATTAAGTTTTAAAATCTCAAAGAGCAATGATTCGGTAAAACCATTTTGTGTAGTAAATAAACATTGAATAGGTGTAGGTTTATAAAAGTAAAAAGTCAATATGACGAAGTACAAGTCAAATGCTTTTAGTGTGACACAATGGGCATCTGACACGGTCTCTCTATGATAAATGGATGATATTTTGAACAATGGTAGAATCAAAATTATTTGGATATAATAGCGAAGAAAGTCGCTTTGTTGTTAGTACTCAGCAGTAGGTGTCTAAAGTGTTAAAATGCCAACTTTCGACAGTATTTTGAAAACAACTTTGCTTGGTATTGTGATAAATAAAATAAAATAAATGCCGGTGGACCACACGAATACGTTAAGTCAATTACAACGAAAACTAAAATTCGGAAATTATTGAATTGTCTTAAATTAGATCCATAGACACGTTGTTTTACTATCCTTGACCGATGTAAGTTTATTGAACTGGACTGGTTACAAATGT